AATGGGTTGCAGTGAAAGTCGTTTATATTCCCCTCAGGATGAATTGTAATAACTCATTCCCATCAGCTTCAGCTGTAACTGAAACACTTTTTAGATGAATATCATTTTAAAAGATACCGTTACACCTCACGTGTGCGTTCTATCGATACCAGGTGCTATATTTTGTAAGGCAAGGCAAGTTTATTTGTATAGCACATTTCAACAACAAGGCAATTCAAAATGCTTTACATAAAACTTAAAAGCAGCACAGGGAGATTGACAAGACACATTAAGATATAAAAAGTAAAAGTCACAGTGCAGTGTACAACATTAATCCACAGCCGTGCATTTGATTTAATTAAAGGCAAGTAAAACGAAAAGGCAGTTTCAGCAGACCTGCAGTTTTCTGGGAGTTTGTTCCAGGTATACGGAGCATAAAAACTGAACGCTGCTTCTTCAGGTTTAGTTTGACTCTGGGGACAGAAAGCAGACCTGATCCCAGCCGACCTCAGAGCTCTGGATGGAAGAGAAGAAGAAGAAGGGAAGTTGCGCATGGAAACACGCGTGGGACAGAGAAAACACAAGGATATAAATTTAAATTAATATTGTTTTTATTAAAAAACATTAAACATTGTCCTTCTTAATATGTAAATGCAAACATAATGTCCTTAATCTTAATAACAAGTATATGAAATTTCATTTTTCAAACATATTGCCTAACAATCAATGCACAGCCTTACATTTCTGCTTCTAATCATATTGAGTGATTTACAGCAAAAATGTCAAACATTCTCAGTTTTAAGCTTCTTCAGTCAGATAATTTGCTGATTTTCTCTGTTTTATATTACTATTGACTGATCTTTACTTTGGACTGTTTGTTGGACAAAAAATTTCAATCAACACATTTAAAAATGTCACCTTGAGCTCTGGGAACATTTTTCACTGTATTCTAACATTTTATACAAATAATAGAAAACAGAATGATTGTCAGTTTAATCAACAATAATAATTATTGGTATTTGCAGTCTACATTTTATTAGGACCTGAAAACACGTGAAAAATATTATGAAGGATCCAAACCTGCTGATCATTGAATCAGTGGCTGCTTATACGTTAATAAATATAAATATATATGTTAATGTCAAATAGCAGTGAGCCCAGAGTCGTACCCTGAGGCACTCCAAAAACAGTGTTTGATGTCCAAAGATAACATTAGAAAGACCCTAAAATGCTAAAAATTAGCACTGCTTGTTATATTACAAGTGATATTATAAAGTAATGGAGGATGTTAGATAACAGACAAAAAGGAAGCAGAAGAAGCTGCAGCAGCCTGCCAAAGCTTAACAAATCCAGTTACATCCTGATCAGCTTTGAAGAAAGCTTAATTGCTTCTTAATTGCCTCCTTTATTAACGGAGTGTGACATTTTAGTGTTTGACTTTTCTCTGATTCCAGTGTTATTGATGTCTTTATTCTGATCCCCTCTTTGTTCGGTCATCTCTGTAACGCCAGAAGCTTCGGGGCAAAAGACAAAAACTCTTTCTCTTAAATTTCTCGCCGCAGAGTTTGTGCCAGCTTTGCATATAAATTTGCTTGTGAGTAAATCCTTCCCTCCAGGATCTCTTTTTTAACCTCAGCAGGAGCCATCAGTCTCCGGAAGACACAGGAGACTCTTCAGATTTCAGTTTGACAGGATTAAAATTAAAATCCAATTTTGTCCTTCAAAAATCCCATTGTCTTTCTGACAGTCACACCACGTGTCAGAAAGAGATGTTAGGTACAAATGTTGGTATAGGATAGAATATATAACATATTTAGTTGATCAGATATGGTCATAAAATACAAAGTCTCTAATTGTTTTTATTTAAATTGTATATATTTACTTAAATGTGTCAGCTAGCCTGTAGCTCAGAGTGCAGACTCACGCAGAGAAAATAAAGGCTAAGGAGATGAATATAAATGAAATTATAAAGCCAGATTTAAACACACAACTTAAAACAAGTGCTGGGAAGTAATCATGTGCAGTAAGACGCTGTCGGTCGTTTGTCCTCAGTGTTTCAGCTCTTGGACCTTTTTCAGGTAAAAATGGGTTAGTAATAAAATGAAAAAATAAATAAAGTAACAGTGTGTGGGATTCTTTTGATTTGAAAACACCTGACAGTAGTGCATAGTAGTGCTGTAGTGCTCGAGACCAGTCTTAAGACCACTTTTTGATGGTCTTGGTCTTGACTACAGCACTCCTGCATAATATTAAACCTCATTTCCTGCAACAGAAATCTGGAGTGAATCAGCTGCAGAGCTGCTGCAGTGTTTGACTCCAGTCCAGCAGATGTCAGGCTTTCACAACTTTACAGCATGTCTGATCACGTCTGATGAGAAGGAATCTGATAGGAAACACTGATAAATGCAATTAGCTTATCTGAGACACAACTTACAAGAAAAAGAGACTTTGCATTTTCTTTCTGTGATCTCTCCTGCTGACTGTAAAGTAAATCCAACACCTCATTGGCTGATGGCTTCTGTTGTTTTCTGACTGGAATGTAAATGAATCTTTCCGGACTTTAGAGCTGGAGTTGGAGCAGTTAATATTGGGATAAAGATTATGCAAAAGTATTGTTCCACATTTAACATATAAATGAGGAAACGCATCATCATGAATAAGCAGATGTTACACAGCAGGAGTGAAACTGTGAGATACAATGTGCAGCATGAAAAGATGCTGCACATTGAAATGATGGCAGGCCTCCCATACAGCTGTTTATACATTATTGTTAGTTTTGGTTTTGCTATTTATTTTTTGTTTTTTTTTAATGTATCAAAGTTTTAATATCAGCACGACCTATGGCGATAACATATGTTGTTATATATACACGTAAGATTGAAGAAATAAGGTTATATGTGTAGAAAAATACAAAACACACCTAAAAAGACACAAACATTTACAGTAAACATTTACATTGTAAACAGACAATAATACTCTGAAATGTATGTAGCCATTATTTATTCTGTCATATGAATGTTGAAGTAGATGTGTAAAATAATATAAATGATAAATTGTCATAGAAAAAAACATTTTCCTTCCAGATTCCCTCATGTTCCTTCTCTGATCTGAAGATGCACAGGAGCAGAGGCGCCTTGGTTTATTAGAAAATTCACATTTTTCCATCTTAAAGCCACCATGAAGCATCAGCCCTGCTGCTGCTGCTGCCGCCTCATATTGAGGATTTTCAGGTGAGCTGTACGCTTCACAGAGCTGCCACTCAGTCTCTGACAGCTGCAGCTTAAACCGAGTCACTGCAGGTGAGACGCAGCCAGAATAACAACACAACTGGACTGAGACACAAAGAACAGACACAACAAAACGGATTCCAGGAAGCTGAAGAAGAAACGACAGCAAACATTCATCAAAACAGCTTCAGTCAGAGCAGAAATGATTAATATCTGTGGTCACAACAGGCCGTCTGCCTCGTCAGCAGGGGTGGAAGAAGGGTTCGGTCTCTTTGGTGCTTTTCTCAAATCATCCTTAACATCTGCAAAACAGAAACTGCAAGTCCTTGTGTCATTAGTTACAAACAAGATAGTGAACATGTTACAATGCAACTGTGTACTGTCTGATGTAAACAATGACTAAGGTGTTGATGACAATGATTGAAAATGCTCACTCTCTCTACAGCATCTATCAACTCCAACAGTACAAAGTTAAACGTTGCAAGAGACAGCAGAGGATTCACACTATTACTGTTTGTGATGTAATTAGTTGACAGAACACGTCATTGTGAAACAGAAAATAAAAATACTGTTTTCCAGCACCGCAGAGCCCAACGGTAGATTCTCATCTACACTGAACAATTATAGAAAAATTGTTAGAGGCAGCGCTTTTGTTTTTGCCCCCATTCATCATGAGCTGAACTCAAAGATCTGAGATTTTCTCTCTGTACATAAAAGGCCTATTTCTCTCAAATACTGTTCACAAATCTGTGTCAGTGAGCTCTTCTCCTTTGCCCAGATAATCCATCCACTTCACAGGTGTGGCATATCAAAATGCTGATCAGACAGCATGGGGTTTGCACATGTGTGCCTCAGGCTGGCCACGATAAAAGGCCTCAGGCTGGCCACAATAAAAGGCCTCCGGCTGGCCACAATAAAAGGCAGGCTGGCCACGATAAAAGGCCTCAGGCTGGCCACGATAAAAGGCCTCCGGCTGGCCACGATAAAAAGGCCTCAGGCTGGCCACGATGAAAGGCCTCAGGCTGGCCACGATAAAAGGCCTCAGGCTGGCCACGATAAAAGGCCACTCCAAATTTAAAGTCTGTAACTTCCTAAAGCACAAACACACAGGTGAGATTATTTCAAACTTGTCTGTTATTGTTTAGACACAAGAATCATGACTCCTTGAACATAAAATAAATCACTTATTCTACAGTCCTCTCTCCATCACAGGGGAGTAAAATGGATGACTCTTCAAAAATATGTGGTCACATGACCAATTTATCTGTGGATAACCAGAAACAAGGGAGGGACCACAGGGTCATGTTACCCCGCTCTCCCCTACATACTGCCAGAAGGCTTATTTTATACAAAATGCATCATGTTCCTTTTACATTATTATTATATTCAATGTATTTAATTGCATTTAAATTTACAACTGTTTTCATAGTTTTTGCAATCGATTAATGGAGAAAATGATCTGTAGATTAATCCATAATGAAAAAAAACATTATTTAATAAACAATCCCAGCCAACAGTGACCTCCTGACACAAAGTCAGAGCTTCCTGAGGGGGGAGTTTGAGCTGAGCATGCGCAGTCGGCCCGCCGTCGCGCGGTAGTTTGAGGAAGTTTGGATCAGTTCTCTACCTGCTGCTGGATGTTCCGATGTTAGTTGCTACCCGTACAGGTGAGTCACTTCACGGCTTCACGTGTCCTCACACACCTCAGGAAACATCAGAGGACACGTCAGGAGATATTTAAATATATAGTATTTAAGGTCGCGTGTCGCTGAGAAGCGCAGGTTTAATATCCGGTTGATTAAAGGTTCAGCTCAGGTGTGTTTTACCTGTTAGCTGCTACCTGGCTGCTGTTAAACCCGTTGAACTGCTTCATTCTACTCTCTTTATCTGCTGTTTGTTGTTCAGTAACATCACTGCAGCCTACAGATTAGAGGTACTTTTTACTATATTTATCTGACTGCTTCAGTTACTTTGGGCTCTGGGTAATTTTTACAACGGATCACTGGAGAAAATAATCATCAATTAATTAACAGAATAGTTCAGCATCGACCAAATGCAGCAGTAAAATCCTGCTTTTACATCAAGGCGTGATGAATGTAATAGTGCAACAGTCTCAGGGGACATTTTACTTTCTGCTTCAAGTGCTTTTAATACTTTAAATACCTTTTTCCTGAATGTACTCACATACTTTTTCTCAAGTAAAATTTTCAGTGCAGTACTTTTACTTGTAACAGTATTTTTACAGTGTGGTATTAGTACTTTTACTTGGTAGTAAAGGATGTGAATTCTTCACTGCTGTAAGCACCATCAGAAGCAGTTTCCTTGTATAAACCTATTTATGTTATATCAGATTATAATAAACCAGCAGGTGACTGATTTGTGTTTTTTGCCCTTCCCTCATCAGAAATGACCTCAACATCAGATCTGGAGCAGATGGCAGAAATCGGTAACTGAGATGAACACATTCATTCATACTTTAACTTACCTTTTATTTAACCACATAAAATGTTGTTAAGAGACGCGACCGAGAGGAGCGACAGAAAACATTATTTTCAGTAAATCCCAACAACAGAAAACAGAAAACTGTCACTCGCGACCAGAGAGTATTCACATTATATCATTTTAATATTCAGTAAAGGCGTATTGGCTAATTGTTGAAACACACCGTTTCTGTTGTATCCTGTAAAACGAACTTTGTTTATATTCTCGATGTCGTCGTCTTGTTGTTTCCTGTATTTTAGGAAAACTTATGGAGATTTTGTGTTTGACCTTTTAAAGCTAAACATCTTCTGTAGTGTGTGAGGTGGATATTTGGGTAATACTGAGGAAGAATTAAACTTAGGAACTTAAAGCTGAAGAACTGGAAGCGCATTTTATTTTAACAAGTAGAAAACAATTTAAAATTGAGTTTAAAGCTTCTAACGTCACTGAGGGTCGATGACACCGTAGAAACTAACTATTTATCTGCCGCCTTTGTTCTCAATTAATCAATCAGTTGTTTGGTCTATAAAATGGTGAAAAACGTCGATTCCCAAAGTCCAAGATGACGTCCTAAATTCAGTTTACTGTCTCAGAGGAGCAAAGCCACCAGGAAATATTCACATTTAAGCTGGAATCAGAAATTTTGCCTTTTCTTTCTTTAAAAACTGCTCAAACCGATGAATCAGTTATCAGAATAATAGGTCATTTATTTAATAGTTGGCAGCTAATTGATTAATTGTTGCAGCTCCACAAACTGCAGGATCATGAAAGTGAACTGGGAGTGTTTACAGTTTGTAGACCGTCTGTGTTCTGATGTTTTTGAACCGTCACCCCAAAGAGAAGCAACATTTTCCAGTTGTACACGTGTGAATGGAATGGATTTGTATTTTTTTTTTTTTAGAGGAGGGTCGGCCCTACAATAAAATCCCGACATGTCAGGGTATCTGTTCTATACTCTGACACTGAGACATTTGAATGTTTGAATTATCAGTCAAAATAATCCAATCAGACATTTTTAAGCTCCTGAAGTCGCTCTCTGCCTCTGAACTGTTTTTAAAGTCTCTTGGTTTCGAGTTTGTCCTATTTCACCAGAGTTTCCCTCCTCCTGCCTCTCTGAACTAAACTGAGCCTTTTGTCAGGTCGACTCATTTCCTCTCTGCTATCAGACCGGCTCCGTGTTTAGAGAAAACTTCCCCGAGAGCTGCAGGATAAACATCCACAGCTCGGAACAGATGGCGGCGGGAGTTTCCACCCAGTCCTCAGGCTCGGTAATTTTAGGCACAGGGCAGATAAGCAAATCATTTAGAAGACGTAGGTGGTGCAGAGCGGGAAGCTGCGATCGAGCTGATGATCCTCCTTTTAAATAATCAGAAGGTTTATTTCAGTTTGTTTCAGAGCGGCCTTCCCTGCATGTGTTGGACACATTAGACGTAACTGTAAAAAGACACCTGCTCCTCAGTCTCGGGTCTAAAACTCCAAATAATTGTTGACATGTTTGAAATCCTTTTTGCAGAACTGCAGAAAGAGGAAGAGGAGGACGATCAGAGGTGTGTCACCGACGGTCCATCGCTTCCTCCGGCCAGCACCTTCAGTCCTGACCTTTCTCACCCGTATTATGATGTGGCTCGACACGGCATCATCCAGGTCTCCGGTCAGTACGCGCACCTTTTCTTAATTCTGAGTGATTTTGAAATGAAAATCCAAAATTCTTTTAGCTCCTGATTTTAGTTTTTTGCACCACCGTGCTCGACCTGCTCAGCAGCAAATGGACCCAGTTAGAGCCTAAAACAAAGCTCATCAGTGTGATCACAGAGCTGTAAAACCATTTCACCGTTTTATATCGAAATCCACTAATAAAATGAGCTTTGCATGAAAGTTAAAATCAGATCATAAAGATAATATCAGCCAAAACCTTATGGAACCGTGTGAAAACCAGATCGAACGTGCATCAACACTGAAGATGTTCTATAACTATATGTTATGGTCTCAGTAAATGCAGTGACCCCACAGTGACACACAGAGGGGCCTCGTGCACCAGTCTGCAGAGTTTCTCCTCTGGCTTTTGGGGAATCAGTGAAAACTGATGTCACACACGTCCGCTGCGTCTTCTAAAGGAGGAAGTGAGTTTGCTGCCGTGTGACAGCGTTTTGCAGGAAGCGGCGATGAGCGGTCAGATTAGGAGAAAAGTTGTGGTGATTGGTCAAAATTGCAAGTCGCACTGAATTCACAGGGATTTGTTGAATTAGTGTTGAGAGCTGCGACCTGAAGGGACAAACTGACCGTCGGGACATATTTTATCATTACACCGGTAACCGAACACAGCGTTAAATATGCACAGAGAGACATTAGCGTGTGCATCAGAAATACATCTGTGCGCCTTCATTAATATCAAGATTCCATATTCGACTTCCTCCAGGAACTAAATTGCAGAAAATGTTGATTATGTTGGAGAGAAACTGTTTCGAAAACGCCTGAAACTCGTGTGTTTGCTCTCCAGGTGACGACAAGTACGGCAGGAAGTTGATCATCTTCAGCAGCTGCTGTTTGCCTCCATCACACGAGCTGAACCACCGACGCCTGCTGGAGTACGTCCAGAGGAAATCCTCTTTTCTTTACCTGTATGATGCGGCTCTGCTAGAAGCTTCCTTCAGCCCAGCGTTGTGTGAAACAGACACACATATAAACATATAAACAGTTTGGCAGGAGGTTTCTGCTCCTGACTGATGAAAACAGTATTTAGCTGAACTACATCAGCTGTCAGGAGACATCGCAGAGACTTGTGTGCTGTCTGTGTGTTGATCAGAATTTAATGGTTTTCAAATGTCATTGAATCAAAAGTGGAAAAGAGACGAGCTGCAGCAGCAAAACTCGACTTAAAGAGTATCAGAATGAACTGTAAGGCAAGCCCCGCCCCCCAAAGTTCCTGTACTTTGCGAAACTACTACCCCCCCCACCAGCTGAAGATGATTGACTCATACAAAACCACATGACAGGGCTGGACATGCAGAATAACGTCTGCAGTCCGACTGGTTAGTTTAGTTTGCCTCTAAACTGTAAACTGAACTGCTGACAAACTCCGCCCCTCTGCCGGCAGGTCAGGTTACCTGCTGGCAGAGGGGGGAGGCGGAGTTTACGCAGTGACTTCACTGCTGCTGCTCCAGAAACATTTGTTTAAAATATAAATCAACTCTGATCCTGATCTGAATTTAGTCTTTAGTAAGAGAAACCTGATGAAGAACCGGCCGATCAGATCCAACCCTGCTGCGGATCAGTTTAAATCGCTTCCTGTTTAACCAACGATATTTTGTGATTAGAGTTTCTTCTGAGTGACCACGCTGCAGCCACAGCGCCGCTCCGTTTCTCTTCCTTCCTTCTCTAAACTTTAGTTTTTGCATTTACCAACAGTTGATGTGATGAGTTAGTTGTGAGTTTATTTCCCCCTGCAGGTACCTGAAGTTCACGCTGGACCAGTATGTGGAGATGGACTACATTCTGGTTTACTTCCATTACGGCCTGAGGAGCAGCAACAAGCCGTCTCTGAAATGGTTACGAGAAGCTTACAGCGAGTTCGACCGCAAGTACGTGACCTCGGCTCCAGACGCACTCCTTAGATTTCTTTTACTTGGAACTAATCTAGTAGTTAGATTTGGTTCAACTCGTGACAAATTTTGAATTTCTTTTATTACTTTTTGCAAAAAGTCTTTGGAAACCGTTTGCTGAGCAAACGACCCCACTGAGGTCAAACGGAGACCAGTCAGTCAGAACTGAAGAAGTCCTTTGGATGAGGGACAAAACGTCTTCCAGTATCTTCAACCAAGTCCAGTCGCCCGTCACTTTAACCTTCGTTGGATACCCAGCCCCGCCTACAAAGAAATTATATTAGTGCTGGGCAACGATTACAATTTTAAATTGCGATTAATCGCATTAATGTTCTGCGCAGAATTGAATAATGAATTCTAAAATAGTGTATCGTGCACTTTTAATTTAAAAGTACTGCTATGTACTCAAAAGTGCAATAACATGTAAACACTTTAAACAAATAAGGTGCTTTTTCCCAGCAGCAATAAAATATTTCTTGTAAATCTCAACTTAAACATTAATGTAATCAAATCAAATATTAAACCAAATCTGTTTGCCGCTGCCAGGGCGTGACCTTTATCCAGAGCCACGACCAGAACATCAGAACAGGCTCCTGCTGAGCAGCAGGTGTCCCTGTTAGAGGGGGGGGGAGTGCTCGCCTCACGCACGCGCCCGCCGCCGCCGCCGAGGCTGAATTGTCTTGAAGTTTTTGTACACGACGCGCAGCACAGATCGTTGGCAGAGAGACTGATCCTCGCTGTTTGAGAGTTTCCAGAATGTAAATAGTTATCAGGACATCAGCAGGAGGGAATTCACACGGCAGAGCGTCCCCGCAAAACTAGATGACGGCCTCTCAGGTGAAGTTATGTATAATTTGAACTTGAGTTAAACAGACTACAGCTGCGTAGCGCACAGAAGCCGTTGCCATGGTTACTATCCATAGAGCGGCGTCTCCCTGTCTGATCACCGGAGCAAACAGCGGCCAACACACAGCACGCCGTGTGCAGCCGCTCCACTGCGGCGTCTGGTCGCTGGTCTTGCTTTTGTCTGTTTCTCCTGCCGCTGCTGATCAACACCCCCCTCCCCCCTCCTGTGACCCAGGGTTTGACTGCATGTGTGTTCAGAGTCAGTGAGAAACACACTTTCAAAAGAATAATAACCTTAAAAAACTGCGTCAACGTGCGATAAAATAATTCTCGGCGATAATTCACGCGTTTACGTGCCCCGCCCTAAATTATATATATAAATAGATAAAATAAGAAGCTTTTCTGTTCAGTTGACCTGATATTTCCATAAAAATTTAGGAACATGTCTTTTTAACAGATACAAGAAGAACCTGAAGACTCTGTTCGTGGTTCATCCTACAAACTTCATCAGGATCGTCTGGAACATTTTCAAACCTCTGATCAGGTAAAGAAACGCCTCCTGACTCAGCTGCTGGGTCTCAGACTGACTTCACGGTAAAGTTTCTTCGTGTTTCTTCAGTCACAAGTTTGGGAAGAAGCTGACGTACGTGAACTACCTGGCTGAGCTCCGGGACCACCTGAACTACGAGCAGCTCATCGTCCCTCCCGAAGTTGTCAGGTGCTGATCTCTGTTCTCAGACCGGCATGCGGTCGACGCAGCGAATCATCAGAGTGGTTGTTTCTGTGTCGTCCCTCGCAGACACGATGAGAAGTTACGAGCTGCTCAGAAAGGCGGACCCCCTCCCTCAGTGAAGACTCCCCCGCCTCGCCCCCCCCTGCCCACGCAGCAGTTTGGTGTCAGTCTGCAGTAGTGAGTGTCCCCACAAACCAGACTCTGAATAAACCCACATCAAATCTGCCGTCTGTTCTGGGGAAACTCTAAATGTCGCGATCGATAAATGAAAGTTTGTTTTTCAGCATCAGAGAGAAGAACCGCGAGGCGATAATCCCACCTGTGCTCTCTCAGACTGTGACCTACCTGAAGCAGAAAGGTGAGTAGTGACGGTCCAGACTGTAAAAAGTCTGTTTTATATTAAATGAAACTGAATCTCTTGGAGTTTTTAACTGTTGGTCAAACAGAACAACGCACACAATGGATTAACTGATGACTTAAAAGTTGTCAAATTTAAACACATGACGTATAAAAACCACCCACCGTGTGCACATTTTAATTGTTGCATTAAAATTTGCTGTGAGTTTAAAAAAACTCTCCAAGAAAATACAGGACCTGACTGCTGGTCGACTGATGACTGACTGATATGAAAACAAATAAAAGTCATGTATAATCCCGTCATTCCTGCAGAGGCCAGTCTAACCTACATGTTATCTCAGCCGTGTGGCTGCTGTTTAAAGGAGATTCGGTTCAGACGTCATTCAGCTGCATTTTTCTCTACAGTTTGTCAGACCTCACATGACCTCAGTGCTCGGAGCTAATTACACTCATTTTGTGAGTAAAATTATTAATAAAACATGAAAGTAAGGCGGATCCTTTTCCACCTGCAGCGAGTAAATTATCTTTGAGCCCCATCGACACTTTTACTGTTATCTGGTAACTGGGAGAGAAACTTTAATCAACAACAACACAGCGGAGTACAGGTCAGGTAGACTTAAATTATCATGAATCCTCATTATTTTCTCTGGAGCTGTCAGATCTGTGGGAGAGATTCTGCAGAAAGCTGCTGAAACGCAGGAGCTGTAAAAGTCCAGGAGTTTCTCACGTGCACATTTAAAGAGGTCACTTCCCCGAACAAAGAGGAGCATTAATGCATCAGTTGCCTCCTCGTGTGGACGGCCAGAGCTGGAGGCTGCTGGATTAACAGACTGTCTCTGTGTGTCCGTCAGGTCTGAGGACGGAGGGCATCTTCAGACGGTCCCCTCGTGTGCAGCTCATCAAGGACGTTCAGAAACTCTACAACCAGGGTGAGCGGGGTCTCCCCTCCTCAGTGGCAGGGGCTCTTTTATCTCTGTGTGTTGCAGCAGATTGAGTCTGTTTCGCTCGACTTCATTAGACTAGACAGGAAGTCGTCCTGCAGACACAAACGGGGATCAGCTGGAGCCGGATTAAACCTCCACTGGTCCTGGTCCAGTTTTAGTTTAACTGATCGATCAACGTCTCATCTGCCGACTGAATGAAGCCCAGAAGGTGCGTTAATTAGAGCCTGAGCGATAAATCAACATGCTGATACTATAAATAAATGTGTTCTAAATTTGATTAGCCTCACAGCTAATGCGCTAACGCTAATGAGCGTTTAAACTAGTATTTGTTTTGTTTACCAAAATGGTAAATATATCTGCAAGGCGCTCGGCGCTGCGTCAGAAATGATTAAATCTAAACTGGAGCTGAACAAGAATCCAACACGGCTTCCTGCCAAACAAAGTTCTCTAGCTGCTCTTTCAGATGTGAAAGTCGCAGGTCCTCGTTGTGGACAGTCCTGTGCTATCAGATGTGTTTCAGAGCCGGGTGGTGGTTGAAACTGGCTTCTCGTAGCTTTGGACAGAATTTAAATTCCTGGTACAGGGAGAGACCAGATGTTTGGTTTCAGCTCTGGTGCATTAATATTTAGCAGCCTCAGGTACTTAGAAAATGTCCAGGAGTTCAACCTTTGGTGTGTTTAATGTCTCCAACCACAGACCCCAAAGACCCTGTCTGTCGGGTACTCGTGTTAATAAAGATTTATTTGAACGTCCTCAGGGAAACCTGTGGACTTCGATCAGTACTGTGACGTCCACGTTCCAGCTGTGATCCTGAAGACGTTCCTCAGAGAGCTTCCTGAACCGCTGCTCACCTTCAGAGTCTACAACCAGGTCCAGGAGCTCCTCAGTGAGTACTGGACGGGGGGGGGGGGAGTCTGTTGAGGAGGAGGAGTCTGTTGAGGAGGAGGGGTCTGTTGTTGAAGTCCTGAGTGGTGTTTCCTGTGTGTCAGATGTGGAGAGCAGTCTGCGGGTCACCAGGTGTAAAAACATCGTTGAAAGTCTTCCTGAACATCATTTCATCGTCACCAAGTTCCTGCTGAGCTTCCTGCACACGGTGCGTTCTTCTTCTGTCACTGCTGTGTGTCTGAGCACATGCTCTGTTAGTAATCTGTTAATCTCAGGTGGTTCAGGAGAGCTAATAATCTGTTAATAATCTCAGGTGTCTCGGGTGAGCTAATAATCTGTTAATAATATGTTAATAATCTGTTAATAATCTCAGGTGTCTCGAGAGCTTCATGTTAATAATCTGTTAATAATCTCAGGTGTCTCGAGAGCTTCATGTTAATAATCTGTTAATAATCTCAGGTGTCTCAAGAGCTTCGTGTTAATAATCTGTTAATAATCTCAGGTGTCTCGAGAGCTTCATGTTAATAATCTGTTAATAATCTCAGGTGTCTCGGGAGAGCTTCATGTTAATAATCTGTTAATAATCTCAGGTGTCTCGGGAGCTTCGTGTTAATAATCTGTTAATAATCTCAGGTGTGTCAGGAGAGCTTCATGTTAATAATCTCAGGTGTCTCGGGAGCTTCGTGTTAATAATCTGTTAATAATCTCAGGTGTGTCAGGAGAGCTTCCTGTTAATAATCTCAGGTGTCTCGGGAGAGCTTCCTGTTAATAATCTCAGGTGTCTCGGGAGAGCTTCCTGTTAATAATCTGTTAATAATCTCAGGTGTCTCGAGAGCTTCATGTTAATAATCTGTTAATAATCTCAGGTGTCTCGGGTGAGCTAATAATCTGTTAATAATATGTTAATAATCTGTTAATAATCTCAGGTGTCTCAAGAGCTTCATGTTAATAATCTGTTAATAATCTCAGGTGTCTCGAGAGCTTCATGTTAATAATCTGTTAATAATCTCAGGTGTCTCGAGAGCTTCATGTTAATAATCTGTTAATAATCTCAGGTGTCTCAAGAGCTTCGTGTTAATAATCTGTTAATAATCTCAGGTGTCTCGAGAGCTTCATGTTAATAATCTGTTAATAATCTCAGGTGTCTCGGGAGAGCTTCATGTTAATAATCTGTTAATAATCTCAGGTGTCTCGGGAGCTTCGTGTTAATAATCTGTTAATAATCTCAGGTGTGTCAGGAGAGCTTCATGTTAATAATCTCAGGTGTCTCGGGAGCTTCGTGTTAATAATCTGTTAATAATCTCAGGTGTGTCAGGAGAGCTTCCTGTTAATAATCTCAGGTGTCTCGGGAGAGCTTCCTGTTAATAATCTCAGGTGTCTCGGGAGAGCTTCCTGTTAATAATCTGTTAATAATCTCAGGTGTCTCGAGAGCTTCATGTTAATAATCTGTTAATAATCTCAGGTGTCTCAGGAGAGCTTCCTGTTAATAATCTGTTAATAATCTCAGGTGTCTCAGGAGAGCTTCCTGTTAATAATCTCAGGTGTCTCGAGAGCTTCGTGTTAATAATCTGTTAATAATCTTAGGTGTCTCGAGAGCTTCGTGTTAATAATCTCAGGTGTCTCGGGAGAGCTTCGTGTTAATAATCTGTTAATAATCTCAGGTGTCTCGGGAGAGCTTCCTGTTAATAATCTCAGGTGTCTCGGGAGAGCTTCCTGTTAATAATCTCAGGTGTGTCAGGAGAGCTTCCTGTTAATAATCTGTTAATAATCTCAGGTGTCTCGAGAGCTTCATGTTAATAATCTCAGGTGTCTCGAGAGCTTCATGTTAATAATCTGTTAATAATCTCAGGTGTCTCGAGAGCTTCATGTTAGTAATCTGTTAATAATCTCAGGTGTCTCGGGAGAGCTTCATGTTAATAATCTGTTAATAATCTCAGGTGTCTCGAGAGCTAATAATCTGTTAATAATATGTTAATAATCTGTTAATAATCTCAGGTGTCGAGAGCTTTGTGTTAATAATCTGTTAATAATCTCAGGTGTCTCGAGAGCTTCGTGTTAATAATCTGTTAATAATCTCAGGTGTCTCGAGAGCTTCGTGTTAATAATCTCAGGTGTCTCAGGAGAGCTTCCTGTTAATAATTTGTTAATAATCTCAGGTGTCTCGGGAGAGCTTCATGTTAATAATCTGTTAATAATCTCAGGTGTCTCGGGAGAGCTTCATGTTAATAATCTGTTAATAATCTCAGGTGTCTCGGGAGAGCTTCATGTTAATAATCTGTTAATAATCTCAGGTGTCTCGGGAGAGCTAATAATCTGTTAATAATATGTTAATAATCTCAGGTGAGCTTCATGTTAATAATCTGTTAATAATCTCAGGTGTCTCAGGAGAGCTTCCTGTTAATAATCTGTTAATAATCTCAGGTGTCTCGAGAGCTTCCTGTTAATAATCTTAGGTGTCTCGAGAGCTTCGTGTTAATAATCTGTTAATAATCTTAGGTGTCTCGAGAGCTTCGTGTTAATAATCTCAGGTGTCTCAGGAGAGCTTCGTGTTAATAATCTCAGGTGTCTCGGGAGAGCTTCGTGTTAATAATCTCAGGTGTGTCAGGAGAGCTTCATGTTAATAATCTGTTAATAATCTCAGGTGTCTCAAGAGAGCTAATAATCTGTTAATAATATGTTAATAATCTGTTAATAATCTCAGGTGTCGAGAGCTTTGTGTTAATAATCTGTTAATAATCTCAGGTGTCTCGGGAGCTTCGTGTTAATAATCTGTTAATAATCTCAGGTGTCTCGGGAGAGCTAATAATCTGTTAATAATATGTTAATAATCTGTTAATAATCTCAGGTGTCTCGAGAGCTTCGTGTTAATAATCTGTTAATAATCTCAGGTGAGCTTCATGTTAATAATCTGTTAATAATCTCAGGTGTCTCGAGAGCTTCGTGTTAATAATCTCAGGTGTCTCAGGAGAGCTTCCTGTTAATAATCTGTTAATAATCTCAGGTGTCTCGGGAGAGCTTCATGTTAATAATCTGTTAATAATCTCAGGTGTCTCGAGAGCTTCGTGTTAATAATCTGTTAATAATCTCAGGTGTCTCGGGAGAGCTTCATGTTAATAATCTGTTAATAATCTCAGGTGTCTCGGGAGAGCTTCATGTTAATAATCTGTTAATAATCTCAGGTGTCTCGGGAGAGCTTCATGTTAATAATCTGTTAATAATCTCAGGTGTCTCGGGAGAGCTAATAATCTGTTAATAATATGTTAATAATCTGTTAATAATCTCAGGTGTCTCGGGAGAGCTTCATGTTAATAATCTGTTAATAATCTCAGGTGTCTCGGGAGAGCTAATAATCTGTTAATAATATGTTAATAATCTGTTAATAATCTCAGGTGTCTCGGGAGAGCTAATAATCTGTTAATAATATGTTAATAATCTGTTAATAATCTCAGTTGTCTCTGGAGAGCTTCGTGTTAATAATCTGTTAATAATCTCAGGTGAGCTTCATGTTAATAATCTGTTAATAATCTCAGGTGTCTCGAGAGCTTCGTGTTAATAATCTGTTAATAATCTCAGGTGAGCTTCATGTTAATAATCTGTTAATAATCTCAGGTGTCTCGAGAGCTTCGTGTTAATAATCTCAGGTGTCTCAGGAGAGCTTCCTGTTAATAATCTGTTAATAATCTCAGGTGTCTCGGGAGAGCTTCATGTTAATAATCTGTTAATAATCTCAGGTGTCTCGGGAGAGCTTCATGTTAATAATCTGTTAATAATCTCAGGTGTCTCGGGAGAGCTTCATGTTAATAATCTGTTAATAATCTCAGGTGTCTCGGGAGAGCTTCATGTTAATAATCTGTTAATAATCTCAGGTGTCTCGGGAGAGCTTCATGTTAATAATCTGTTAATAATCTCAGGTGTCTCGGGAGAGCTAATAATCTGTTAATAATATGTTAATAATCTGTTAATAATCTCAGGTGTCTCGGGAGAGCTAATAATCTGTTAATAATATGTTAATAATCTGTTAATAATCTCAGGTGTCTCGGGAGAGCTAATAATCTGTTAATAATATGTTAATAATCTGTTAATAATCTCAGGTGTCTCGGGAGAGCTAATAATCTGTTAATAATCTGTTAATAATCTCAGGTGTCTCGAGAGCTTCGTGTTAATCTGTTAATAATCTCAGGTGTCTCAGGAGAGCTTCCTGTTAATAATCTCAGGTGTCTCGAGAGCTTCATGTTAATAATCTGTTAGTAATCTCAGGTGTCTCAAGAGCTTCATGTTAATAATCTGTTAATAATCTCAGGTGTCTCGGGAGAGCTTCGTGTTAATAATCTGTTAATAATCTCAGGTGTCTCGGGAGAGCTTCGTGTTAATAATCTGTTAATAATCTCAGGTGTCTCGGGAGAGCTTCCTGTTAATAATCTGTTAATAATCTCAGGTGTCTCTGGAGAGCATTGTGAACAAGATGAGCCCGTCCAATCTGGCCTGTGTGTTCGGGGTGAACCTGGTCTGGCCTCGTCACGGTTCGATCTCTCTGACCGCTCTGACCCCCATCAACATCTTCACCGAGATCCTCATCGAGCACTTCCCCACCGTGTTCGGCTCCCGCTGCCCACCTGCACAGGTAATCCCCTGAACACCTGCAGAGCAACAGCTGGCTCCATGTCCTCGGGAGTGTTTTTTACTTTTTAAAAAAACACTTTTCGGCCTGAGAGACACAAACACTCACCAGCTGGTGACGATGATGATGACGATTCCTAAAGACGTTTGCTCTCACCTGGACAGAATCTAAACGTGGGACCTCAGAAGAGGAACCTTTACACTGTGACTTTTGTTTTCCTCTTGCACCGTGATTCAGATCCATCAGCTGGTAAAAACTAAACTTTCCACTGTGTCTCTGTGCCGATGACCACGACTGAGGACAAAATCTAGCATCAATTTTGGTGAAGAACATTAATTTGTTAAGATTTTCAGGTCAGTTAATTAAAAAGACACTTGTCTGTCCATTTGGTTTCTAGAAAATGTTCTGCATTAGAATAAAATACTAGAGTTAACATTTATAAACAATACAATTAAACAATACATAAATATTTAATACAGTTTATAACGCAGTATAACGTAGATATACTTAGTGTTTATTAATGTATCTGTTAATAAATGATAATTATAGTAACATATCTTTGTAGGAGAAGTTATAATTGTTGACAAATTTTGTACTTAACTAAAATGTTGTAATATCTGCTCAGACACATTATAGTCGTTATAAACCAGATATTAAATGTTTAGTAACTGCTGATAAATGCTAAATACAGAGCGTTGGTGTTTCTCTGGGGTCTCTACCTCTGACATCTGTAATAATGTGCCGTTTCATATTTTAGAATTAGATTGTTTTTTTTTTAGTCTGCGTTGAAATGTCATAACAAGACATCGTTTTTAAAACCATTTTGAATGAATATAATTAAAGTTTAAACAGGATGTTAGCGCACAGATTTTCAATTCAGAGCGTCTTGTTACCACAATGATGCACCACACCAGCAGTAAACAGGCTGCTATATTTAGCTTCAATTTTCACTTTCATTTATTTTTTAAAGGTTTGAAGTGAGCAGAAAGTTGTACAGTGTAAAAATAAAAACACACAGCTTTTGTACCTGTTACAGTTTGTCCACCACTGTTTTCTCAAAATGAGTTTTTCCTGAGTCTGAAATCTAAACTTCAGCAGCTCTTAGAAACTTTCCAGTTTTATTCGTGACTATATTTGTTCATACATCATTCACAACCTGAAGTATAAAACATTTTAATTCCCTGTAACATGTAGATTTATGCTTGTTGACAGTATTTTCTGATTTTATGTAGTGAAAACTGAGAAATCCAAAATGTTAATGTGTGTAAACAAAATAAAATAATCATTTTGAAGCTGATTCAATCCAGTGTTCAGATATCAGTTCTTGAAATAGATGCAAATAAGTGCATATTTCATTAGAGACTGCCTCATTTGCATATTTAACTTAAAATTTCAGAAAACCTGTAATAGAAAATAATGTTCACCTGCAGTGTCTCACTTTAAACACTTAATATTCACTACCGGTCCACAAGTTTAGAATAAACCCATTTGTTTGTATGTAAATATAAGTAGTTCAAGTCCAGTGAAAAACCTTAAATGGTAAAAAGTTAAAAACAATGTTTATGTCACAGTTTTCAGATCTGAAATGAAGAGATCTCCGTGGCTTCGCGCCTCTATCAGATCTGAGGGGAACAGGTGTTGGTCGCTGCTGGCTGATAACGACAGGTGACATGAAAACAGACGCTGGAGTCAAAACCTTTTTGTTCTTGAATTTTGTTTATTAATGATTCAATTTTTTGTAAGAACTTGGTACAAAAAAGTGAGACTAATTTTAATCATTTACCAACTTCCATCGATCAACTTTTTAATGCATCATAAAGAAGAAAAAACTACATTGGCATATTTAAGACAAACACTTTTCCTATACACACTATCCACTGGACAGTCCCCTTTTATTAATGACAAAGAAAATTTCTACTTCAACAGACATTTTAATTTCCATCTAAACGTGTCGTCGTCGTCTCCTCGTGGCAAAATAATACATCGAACGTTGTAAGCTAGAAGTCAGAATGCAGAACTGGCAAACAATAGAAAACCCCAATGTTTTCTTTTTTTTGCTTCTTGATAAAAGAATATAAAAATGTTCTAACTTTTTTTTTTCTTCCTATTTGTTCAAATGTTTGTGTCGTGTATTAAAATAGATCTGTTTAAGCACTGCACAGTTTCTCCCGGAGAAGATTTCTAGAAACGGATGAAGAGGTGGGGGGGGGGGGTTCGACGCGGCACGGAGCGCTGATATGGTTTCCGTCTTTTTTTCTTTCCTGTCTCAGGTGAGGACACGATATGCATCACATGGTACATTCTGTGAGACTGAACTTCTTCACACTGATGATGATGATGATTTTATTCGTCTATAAAGGCATGTCAGGTACTACGGAAGAGGATTTGGGCCACATGTGAAAAACCTTTTTGAGTTCTGACTCTTCTCACAATTCTGACTTTACATATTACATAACAAAATTTAGACTTTTTCTCAGAATTATTATTTTTTCAGAATTTAGACTTTTTTTTAAATCAGAATTCTAACTTTACATTTTACGTGACACAATTTTGACTTCAAACTCGAAAATCAAATACAATGTACAATGGACTATTGCAAACTTCAAAACTGTGCTCAAAACTCATCTTTTTAAACTAGCATACTCACTGTAATGTACAACACCGATTCCCATTTTGACTGTTGACTGAATGTTTAAAATTTTATTTTTTTTCCTTTTGCTATTTTTATGATGCGATGTTCTTTTGCTTCTTGTTATAAGGTGACCTAAGTGCCATGAAAGGCGCCTTCAAATAAAATTATGTATCGTTACATTTTTCACATGAAAGAACTCTTGAGTTTAAAGTCAGACCTCTGACTTTCTGAGGAAAAAAAAGTCAAAATTTTGAGAACTTTAAACTCAGAACTCAAATTTTATCTCATGTGGCCCTAATCCTCTTCCATACAGGTGCAGCGTTAACGCACACCTGCTCCTTGTCTTACAGGTACAGAGCCTGGAGAGTGTCTGCTGAATATGTCTTCTGCTCGTTAAGGTAATCTGTTTCATTGTTTTGTTATGTAAATTGTTTTTTGAAACCGTCTTAATAAACTTGATAGAAATCCGTTGAGTTTTTTAAAAGTTTTTAAGTTGTAAGGTGTTAAGCAGAGGCAGCCCCGCCTGAACTAAAGAACATTTTATCTTGAGGGAGGCACGTTATTTTACACAGGAAATGCCATAATAAATATTACTGAGTGATCATGGAGGTGCGTCAGGATCTGGGTCACAGACCGCCTCGAGTAAACAGTAAAATACTATGTTTATCACAGTATATCAAAATTAAACTGTAGAGAATGTGTCAGTAATTTCGGTTGTTTAATCTATGGTTATATTGATGTGTTGTATCTTAAATCTGTTTTTAAATGTGGGGAAAATATAAAAATATTTCCAGTATAAAGTAACAAATACTCCAAGTGAAGTAAAATTACTTGTTTGTTAATCCAATAATAATCTGTTAAAAGGGCCAAATTTAATGAAGAGACGTGAAATTTTTTTTTATTTTGACAGTGACTTCAGGTCTCGTGGTCACCGAAGTTAGATGATGGACAAACACTCATTACATTTGGCATTTGCTGTGTGAAATTTAAATTCTGCCTTCTTCCTCTGACGGTAAATGTTTTATTTCATAAAAACAATTTGATTTTTAATATATGCAGATGGTTCGCTTCAGGCGAGGCGTCTCTGGAATTTACTGAATTGAGGGACAGAACAATTTAACAAGACACCTTCCTGGTTCTGTATTCTGATAAAGCGCATTTTAATATATATATATATTAAACATAATGTGCATTTGGCTCAGAGTGTTGCATGAAAGCAGAAACTCACTAGTCAGAAAACGATGTACTGTCTGTTCAGATTCAGAAACAGCTACGTTTGACCTGTTCGTCAGATTTGTCGTCTCCGAGCCAAACTGTTTACGGATAAAGGATCATTTCTGTATTTCTAAACCTGGGCTCTGTTTTTACATAATGTTGGTGTGGAATATCTCACATGTGTGAAAATACTGAAATTACCCTTTAATCATTTTAGAAAAACGACTGAAAATCATCACGTCAGAGCTAAATATTGTATCTTCAGGGTCTAAAATGTTTTAGCGTAGACGAGAAACGATGAATCGATAATTCAAACAGCATTTGCTGCTTTTCTGCTTCAGGTTTGACGACGACCCCAAAGAGGCTCCTTGAAAACGTCACTTTTTAAAATCGTTTTCTGACGTAATGGCTAAATGATTAATCAAAAATAAAAACAACTGATAGTTGCAGCACCAGTGTGTGCCGATTTAATCGCTTTACACTTATTTTTTTAAGCTACTCTGATTTTTGGTCAAGTAAACTGAAAATCTTTTGAACAGAAATTGCCTTGTGCTTCGGGGAATTGATAATCAAACGGTTGGATTTTCTGCTCGCTGCGACGTTTCCTCTGACGCGAGGCCTCGGCCTGCTTCACTCGCACCTCGTCACTTTTCACGTGAACACCGTGAACGTCTTCGCGGGGAGACTCTCTGAAAGTGTGCTGTTCTCCACGTTTGTACGATTCACGGCGTCGTGGCGCACTAAAGACGAACTCCTTCATTTGAAGCGAAGTGAGGCCTTTTCTTCCTCAGAGGTTCTTTTATACACTAACGTTTATTTCTTTGGGGTGAAATCATGTCATGAAACGGGTTTGATGCCATATTGCTCGTCTTTTCTCCTCCTTTTTCGTTTGTTTTGCAGCTTCGTTCAGCCGCTGCTGAAGCCTCGGACGTTTTAAACTTCTCCAACATTAATGATCTATTCAGTCACTTAAATACTTCAGAGACCAAACACAGACGACCTGGATATGATTAAATAAAATAAAAGCACCTCTTCTCAGTTTTTCTCTTGATAAAGGCATTTTTTTCTCTGACTTGTTTAAACCTTTTGTTCGTGTTTGTGCATCAGCAGGTGGCAGAGCTGCACCGCGACTGTGTGGTGAGCATGAGAAATAAAAAATGGACTAAATCTATGTTTGTACACTTAAACTGAACCTCTCTGGACCAGCAGGAAGACTAGCGAGACAGGTGGACCGAGCGGGACGCGACCGCAGCTTCCTGGTTCGATCGCCGTCTGCACGCTGCGGGGCCGCCGGCGGTCAAACAGTGTTGTTGCAGTTTGACCGAGTCCCACTTCTGATTGACTGGTGTCTATAAAAATGACGCAACAAAGACGAAAACCCTGGACGTAAAAAGGATTTGTACTTGAGGCAGTGTTCATCTGTCAGATTAACAGGCTCGCCACTGTTACAACGTTCATAAAACACGAGAGTAAAAAATATGAAACGGGCAGGGAGGAAAGAAAGCACTATAGACGTTATTGATAAGATGAGCGATCCCAGTACAAAAACAAAGAAACAAGTTTTTGGCATATTTTTCTATACTGGTTAAAGAGGAAAGGGACTGAATGGAGGCGTGAAAAAACAAACGGTTTGTTTTCTGCGGCAGAGCGACGGCAACACAACCAAGAACATTATCGGGTTTTATCTTCTTTTCCTGTTAAGATGCAGAAACTAAACTGAAACCTCTCAAGCCAAAATAACACTTTTCTAAAATCTACCGCTGTCACGTGAAAGTTTCCTGATTTATTTTTTCGAAGCCTTTCAGATTCATATTAACTAACTTTTAACGTACGACAATCAGACATTATTTTTAGTTCACGCACTTGTTTCTGCACTTCATTAAAATTGCGTGGTAATAATCTGGTCTGCGTTGCCGTCGACAGAAAACAAAGCTCGGCCTCACGTGTGACTTGAGTAAAAAAAAACAAAAACACCTGCGATGATGATCATGATGATAATAATAATACAACGTATGTACAGTGATCCCCTTGAATACTCCAAACTTACATTTATCAACAGGCATCAGCATGAAAATACTAAAATCTCCACTAGTTTTTTTATCTTAAATACTTTTTTCTTTGACTTTAACTCTATTAATACTGAAAAAAAGTTATTCTCTGCTTTTGTTTGAAGGCTCGTATGCGTTTACATACACGATGAAAACACTTTCCTGAATTATTATGGCAAAAACATTGTTCATAGGAGAATGAGAACAAACATCTAGTCAGATATATGAATGTACAGTCCGTTCACGTCCATCGATCCTTTTGTTTTCTTCTACTACGGCTAACTCTACTGTTCTCTCTCACTATATGCAGAACAATAATTATACCTGTGTTTAAAAAAAAAAAAAAAAGAAATATCTTTTGGGCCGCACACAAAAACTCGTGACGTGCTCCTGCGGCGGCGCTGTAA